TGACTGTTTGGACCGTGAAGACTGTTGAGACAAATTATATAGCTTATACCATTTAGATAGTCTAAATCATTTCGACTGTTTTGACTGTTTTGACCGTTTTGACCGTTTTGAAAATCTCGACACTTTTGGCAATTTTAATTGTTGTGACTGTTCGTACGTTCTGACATGTTTCACTGTTTGACTATTTGACCTATGACTGAGTTAACTATTGATGAGCTTACGCTATATCGACACAGAGGTTCCTCGTAGGAAGAACATCAAGGCAATATGAAGGTAAGAGTTTAAGAGAGACGAGCTGCAATGAAGACGCTGAAGTACCCGTGGAACAAGAATGACAGCCGTTGCGGCGCGTTGTGGTGCGGGGGCAGCGTCGCGTCGCCGCCGTCACGTTCGGCGTCGCGACGCAGCGCGCGTCGTTCCTCCCCCGCGGCGCGGCGCTGCGTCGCGTCGGTGTCGGTGTCCTGACGCGCGGGAAGTTGACTTGGGGCAAGTGGACAGCGCTTCTTGACAACTCATTGACAAACTTCTCGAGCGGCGCTAAGTGATTGTCAAACTCGCTTCTGTTTACATTTTTCTACCACGTCTCGCGCGCCCCATGCCATCGGCGAACCTTTGATCTTACAACTCTATCAGCCTCTTTCTTCTTGGATTAGTCCTTATTAAATTGGTCCCGCTCTTGGAAAGAAGTCAATGGGAAATTCGGCAACTTTTCACATAGAATATGAAGTTTTATTCGAACAATGGAGCTCTTGCAAGTGCTAGAAATTTGCGATCTAAGCATTGATTTTTACGTAAAATTCGCAAGAGATACGAAGATGCCACCGGTTTTCTCTAAAATTAACTCTAAAACTAAAAAAAAAGATGTCAAGTTGACGAGGAACCTCTATATCAAGACCATCTCTCTATGGAAAGTAGCAACCCTGTCAATATATTTGCTCCATATCCTCGCATAGAGAGGTTGTCTTAAAAAAGAAGTGGACTTTCAGGGTAGCGTAGCATATCCCCTATATTACGGCCTCAACATTGAGAGCTTTTTTGAGCTTTGGAGTTTGTTTTAGAGAAAACCAGTGGCACCGTCGTGTTTCTCGCAAAATTTTACAGGAGAATCAGTGCTTACATCGCAAATTCCTGACAAATGTAAGAGTTTCATTGCTAAATAACTACGGAAAAGGGACGCTGTACACTTTCTGAAGAGTTACAAATGAAACTCTTACATGCGGCGGAGATTCATGATCCAAGTTAATTTAAAGTAAAATTTTGCCAGAGACACGATGGCACCACTGATTCTCTTTGAAACGAACTTCCAAGCACAAGAAAGGCTCTCAACGTTGAGGATGTAAGAAAGGAGATCCCCCCACGCTATATGCCAAGTGTCCATCCCTGTATTCAATGAAACTTTCAGTGAAAGAATATATCAGCAGTGCACCTAGGGGTCCAATAAGGCTAGAAAATTGGTAACTCTGCTAATGTATTTGCTCTCTCTCTCTCGATGCATGGAGAATTTGATTGGATTAAGCGGTGGACTCTTGTCTTGGCAAAGATGATCATCTTTGTGACGGCCTTAACTTTGAAAATTTTTTTGAGCTTGGGACTAGGTCCCAGAGAAATGCCAATGATGGGTGCATGAGGTTTTCACGTGTTCATATACCGGAAAGACTGTCACGGTAACGGTAACGCTTAGTGTGCGATTTAAATCAAGTATATTAAGGTTTTTACTTCCTGAGCGATAAATTTGAATTTCTGCCATGAGAAATGATATTATATTTGTTATGAGTTAGTTTAAGTACTTTTTCTTGTGCAAATCTGAATCTACATAAAATTTCGATGGCAAAACTTGAATCATAATTCTCAAACTCGTAGCCTGTCTAGTACTCCATATTTGACAAAGCTTAAATATCAAATTGAGCAGACTTGTGTAAAACTAGCTTTTCAGCACTTATCCAAAATCCCCACAAACATTTCCTAAATTCCCCTCCTACAGAAGGGATGCCTTCTTGCACGTATTTCTCATTTTATTCAGAATTTCTTTTTTAAAAAAATTACATTCAATGGACCACTAGACAAGGTGCGAATTTCAGCATTTTGATACATGTTTCTTAATCAAAATTTCACGTAAAACACGATGCGCACAACGAAAATTACCGAAATCAACTCCTTACGAAGATATTTAATGATTCTTGATGCGTAAATTCAAACCACCCGCTCATGAAAACTCAATGATCTACGTGATTCGCATCTCGCGCTAAACGTTATCATGACAGTATCTGCGATTTAAAAATCTGGCAACCTCAATTTTGACGCTTTGGCTCAGCTATAGCAAATTACTTATAGTTTGATCAACACATGGTGAGAAATGAGCATTGCTCGTTTGAGAAGCTTGCTGAAACCGTTGTAGTGCGCGATTTGACTCACGTAGAGCTTTGAGTTTCTTGTCAGCGGGCAGTTCAAATTCCTCGTAACCAATGTGAAATAAAAACGTTAATATCTTCAATAGGAGTTGGTTTGATTAGTTTTCGTTGTGCGAATCGTGTTCTACGTAAAATTCTGATTAAGAAACATGTATCAGATAGCTTAAATTCATACCTTGTCTAGTGGTTCATTGCCGGGAATTATTTGTTTTGTGCTCTGGAGAGAGATCCAGCTAATAATCACAGAATTTTTTATATATTTTTTTAAGCGACCCACTCTTGACTGTTGAGACGAAATCCGCGACGGCGAGACCTCGCTAATAAGCGTCGGAGAATCGTAACGAAATACGCGGCCAAAAACGATGCTCGTTAAAATCGTGGCCGTTCCCACAAGTTTCGGGGTGATAAAATTGCATTGCGACACCGGGTGTAGAATATCAGAATTTGGGAGGATGGCTACGAATAAGCAACGTGCTATCAGTGGCCTAATTAAACGATTGACCCAACAAACCTACTGACCAAAGCCCAGCCTGTCACTGCACACGGAGATCATAGGTCAATAGTCACCTATGTTGCCACGCAAAGTTCTACCTTTCAAAAAATTTAATAAAAAAATAAATTGAAGTTACCCATAGTTTACGTGCGAATAGATGCAAGGTTTTGCCTGTCTTCATTTCTTAATTTTTCCTTTTATTTCTCTAATTTTCAAAGAAAATAAAAAATAATTGAAGTTTATGGTGACTGAACTTCGTGTCAGTATCGTGAAATGTTGCCCAAGAATTTTCGGTGATACTCATATTTGGGCGTGTTTTTTTTTAATTTCTTTGCCTTTTTCTTTCCCATATTTTTTCCTTTTTGCTTCATTTTTTTGTTCCCCTTTTTCTCCTCGTATCACTGTTAAATGGTACATGATAAATTTTTGTCTGTAATAATCGTATCAAGAAAAGCACTGAAAGAAGCCGCAGCGTAAAATCCGCGATTGATCCTGGTTTTCAAAATTCGTTAAAAATACTGCAGGTTTGTAATAATGCACCGAGCTTTTGACATTTTGCTAAATTTCCGGTAACGAGACCAAGAATTCCGGCACTAGTTCCTAAGATTTTAGGGGTGCGAATATTGCCGAAAAATCTTTTCCCGGGTTATTTCTGTTCCTCTTCTCCTTTAATGCTGCGCGACTTTGGAATTCTTGGATTGGTCAAAGCACAATGGAATTCAGAAGGAATCAAAATTTTATCGTCATCAATAAATTATAATTTGGAAATATTTCATGTCAAATTTCACGATTTCAAGTTCCTTTTTGCTCCAAAAACATTCCGAAATTCGCATTTCCATCCGGCAATTTTGTGCTCTGAACATTTCACAGTAGAATTGCCATTAGTTTTTACTGAAAACGACGCTTGTTAAACTGCATATAAAACTCAAACCGCCGTAGCCAAGGTTTCACGGTAAAAAGCACTTTACCCGGAGCCCTAACACTTTAGGTGAAAAAACGCTAACTACAAGAAGTAGTGCTGAGCTCTACAGTTTAGGGTTGGGTCCACCCGTACAGCTTTAGGGTCCAGCTCTACTGCCTGTACTTGACGCTATTTGACCTAAAGTTTCAGGGCAAAGCGCTAAGTTGCTTTTTCAGTGTTGATTAAGAAATGTTGGAGGTTTGTTAACCAAAACTGTTTATGAGACCCCTTATTCATGCTTCCATATTAAGAACTTAATCATTTTGATTTTGTTGATTTAGGTTCCCTCCTCCCTTTACTGATCATGAATAATCAAAAAATAGATTCGTGTTTTAGCCAGTGCCTTTGAATTGCGTTTAATAGAAACTAGAAACTGTATTTCTTCTTTTTCTCTCTATTTCATCTTTGTCTGTTCGTTTGAAAACAAGAGATGAACTCGTTAGTTGCTTAAAATAACTTCATTGGTATTACTTTGCAGTTAGTTACTTTCTCCTAATTGATTCAGCTCATTTTCATTTAGGAGAGGGTGTCCAGTGTCCACCTTATTATTAACTCGGGCAAAATTATGATAACAAGCAACGCTCTCCAGTTTACTAAAATAACGCAAGATTGCCGTCACACAAAATTAAAAGGAAATGCTACGACAAGAAAACCCCTCGTTTAATACAAATGTTGGTTCCTTTCAGGTGGGATCAAAGCTATGAAACCGACAAGGGTACACAAATTGAAATTCGATGGAACTTGTTGGAGAAATTTGAGGTAAAGAAAGAAAGATATAAACGGGCAACTCTCTTGCAGCTTACTAAAACAACGCGAAATATCCTTCACGAAACAGTAACAGGAAATTCCACCTCAAGCAGACCCCACGTTTCCAAAAAATTTGGTTCCTCTCAAGTGTGATTAAAGCAATGAGAAGGGTACAAAAATTGCAATTCGATGGAACTTTTTGGGGAAATTTGAAAGGGAAAATTTGAGCGGCCCGTGGGTAAATTTTGTTCCCTGCTATGGCTCGGTCTCAAGGGGTCCGAGGGTGTCCCCCCTGCGCCCCCCTCCGTGGAGCCCCCTGTCAGCGACGGCGGGCGACGGGCGCGCGGTGCGATATAAAACGACGAGAAAGTGCGTGAGAGGAGTAGTGGTGAAACGAGCGACAAAGCGAGTGCGCAATCAGGAATCAGTGCTTCGAATCAGTTTTGAATTCGGTGTCGGGTCAGTCCGCTCGCGCCAAGTTCGGTGCCTAGTGATTTGTTTTCCTCGGATTTGGACCTACCTCCGAACGGGATGAAGTTTTTGGTGGTGAGCAACATTTCAGTTCTTTTTCACAGGACTTTGTCGGGATTTTTTCCCGCTGTGTTTCTGGCCTTTGCGGTGAATTTTTGGACTTGTTCGCTTTTCCAGTGTTTATTCGAACAGTGGATTGTGTAAAGATTATCACATCCCTTCGCAGTTTAACTTTCCTTCTCTGGGAACAGAACAGGCGTCTGTGTATGAAACCCTTTATGGGAAATTGGCTCATGGTGGACGGAGGCAATGTATTCAGAAGTACAAATTTTGTGAAGTGAGCTGAGAAAAATATTTTGGAATTTGAATATTCAATTTAAAACTAACGAAAGAATCTTGATGAGTAAGTTTCAAGCGGTTAAATTCATGTTTGTGACAAAAAAGTGGATATATTTTCCCCCTAAATACGAAATTTTAAAGACTATAACAAAAAAGAAAGAAGCTCTTGTATGACTACATTTTTGAAATTTAAGCTTCCAGACATTTTTTGCGTATTTTGTGCCAAAAAGTCCTTCTAAAAATCCGTTTAAAAAAATTGGAATTTTGAATTTTTTGGCGCAAGGCTCCTTTGTCCTTTGATTTTAATTTTTTATCGCTGGTATTGTTTGCATTAATCGCCTTGGGTCCCTTTTCGGAATTTTCTTGCGGAAAAATCTACACGCGTTTTTTAAACATGTTTTTTTTTTATGCTGTGGTTTTTCCTAGAAGGAGATATTTTGAAGTGGGAAACAACTAACTCTTTTCGGCTCAGTTTTCCTCCTTTTTTCGAAAAATTAACGTACCTTACGACGTCTCAAACTTAAATTGATTAATGACAAAAACATGTAATGTTTCCCGTATTTAAATATATTTTGATGATAGTTTATAAAATTGTAAACCTCGTCTCATTTGAACTGTGAGTTACCTCGCAATAATCACGACAATGATTGAATTTTAATTAAACTATAGAGGCTCGCATTAATAAGCTCTTTCAGGGAAAAATAGGAAGTTTACCAGCCTCATAATGAGAACGATAAAAGAAAATTAAGACACCGAAACACCTAATGGAATAATGTTCTTTGTACGTTCCTCAGTCGGTTTAAAACTGCTTGTTTACTTTTCTACTCCTGCGTTAAAGTCTCCGCGTCATACACACCGTAGTTGCATTGGCCTGCCTCAATTGTGGGGAATCAAATAGAATTTTTTAAATACATCACTGAAATAATGTACTCCCAAAGCATTTAGCAGTTACACTTTTTTTAAACAAATAAAACTGGCACTTTTATTCTCATTCGACCGTGCGCCACTTGCCGCGCTACAGACACGAGGTCAAAATTGACTTTTAACCAAAAGTATTGGCCTTTAGTTTATTATTTTCTCTCGATTAAAATCAGTGATTTGCTTGCTAAGTTTTCACAAATAAGAAATTTTCTAAATATACATTCACGAAAATCCTCTTTTGATTGTTTGATCATGACATAGTAAACGTTTACGGACCCCCAGCGCTTAAATAAAAAGTAATTAGAAAAAAATCCTCCACTTTTTAATATGTGGAGTTTTCTAAATTTTGAACATCATTAGGAAATAAAAAGTAGATAGCCGTTCAGATGATTCTTACATTTGGAATTCTTTCTCAAGTGTTTTGACTTTTAAATTATTCATGGCTCTCGTACATCGTTGATTAAAGTAAAAAAAAAAAAAAAAAAAAAAAAAAAAAAAAAAAAAAAAACTTAATATCTCACGGTTATTTTATTTATTACTGAATTAATTTTATTGCATCTCTAAATAATATTGAATTTTGTAACAAATGGCGTAAAACAAACTGAAATGCCGAATAATACACTATAAAATTGTTTATATTTCATCCATACACACATACGTACATAAGGTCCGTTTTCACAGCGCTATTTGGCGCTCTGCGACACCTACCCACATTTTTTACCTCTCAAACTTACTTTAAACTTTTTCATTTTTTATTTCTCATTAACTGCATCATTATTGTGCGAGGATATACACATGTATTAGCCGAGGTCTCGACTGTGAATTGCGCGATATACTATTCAAAGGTTTAGGTTTTCAGGATAGGTAATTTTTAAGTAACTAAAATTTGTCTTTCCATCAATTGCTCGGAACGTGTCAATGAATAATGTCAATGCTCCTGTTGCTTACGTTAATCCTAATAATTATCAGAACGAAGTATTTTCAAATCCCAATCGTAATTTCAAAAAGTCTCAATAATGGTAATTTTATAATGGTTACATCAATGTTTAAAAAAGAAAAATTGAACATATTTATCAATCCGGGGTGTTTTTGATGTGTAAGAGTCATTGAGTGATAAAAACTTGTTTGTGGTTTGCAAAGATAAAAAGTATCGTAGATTTTCGTGGACACAGTCTCAGCAGTGACAGTGCACTTATACCATTGCCATCTACATACAAGAGTATGAACGCAGACATCATCGTCTGCTATATTTGTAAATATCGAGAATCATTCACTTATCGCCTTACTATACTATTAAAAGTTTGTCCGTAGTTCAATATTGTATAACAGAGGCAATATTCTACCTCAGCCAGGCCAACCACTTGATTAACACTTTTTTTCAATCACTGCAAATATGATCCATTACGTCGAGTGGATGTTGTTCCGTGTTGAGATGTCGCTGAGTCAGCAGATAGAATGGTATTCCTCCCACATAATTTCATGTAGGAAACATATCATAACAGAAAGTTATGAGATTTACCCTTACGTATGCACAATTGAATTACATGCTCTAAACCGAATGATTCGAGGATTGAAAAATGTTCAAATTGAAATTCCTGGCACTTATGCGACAGAGATGTTGAATTGGAGTTTAACATTGCAGGCTTGTTTACAAATCTTTACATATCATTGCAAATCAAGTCGTTTATGGGGGAACTTGACAATACAATATCCCTCTAAGGTTCTACTGCATTAACATTCTAGGAAAATTTGAAATACTAAGTGTTGTAATGAATATAAAATGTCAATCCGAGGGTTTATAAAAAAATAAATGGACTCATCAATTCCTGAAAGCAACTTTGAGAAATCGTTTAATATTCTTAGAAATTTGTGTTAGAATAATGGTTCGATTGCATGTATCATAAAGTCAAACTTATCTTAGTTATTGTGTTGTATAAATTAGCGAAAACTTTTACGATGTATTGAAGCGCTAAGGTCATACATCAAATAATTTTGACGAAAATCCCATGAGCACAACATTCATCGCCCAAACCGAACCATGGTTTTCAAGCCTTCATCTTTCTGACGACGTATAGATAAATTTGTTGATAATCGCTCAACGTGTATTATTTATTACACAAACGAAACATTTTTTTTATTTTTTTTAAAATCAAAACCAAGAAATGCACTAACGCGGTGGAAGGCATTATTTGAAAAGTTTTCCCTGTTTCCTGCATGGAAATTTGAGGTAATTCTTATGCAAAAATTTGGCGGTTGTAGAAATCTTGATATTTTCTATAAATCATCAATTCAATTGACCAAAATCATTCAATTCAAGGGGTGATTATTTTTTTACATGTAATTTAGACGGAACTTTAGTCTTTTGAAAAGCACGCGCGGAGACTTCTTGCATGGATGAAGGACGTGATACATCCCAATAAAAATGACCAATAACGATCGGTTAAAACAGAGGCATGTCTAGTTGTGTTTACTGGTTGCCAGTGCAATATGTTTATCACATTTTACTCGGCACCAGCAGAATTAGTTACCTGCTGATCAGGTCTTGATCTAATGATTGCAAGTTAGATAGTAAACTGATGTGACAACTGTAATCAACCAAATTATCTCTTAACTATCTATTGACTAAACTGTCAGCATAATCTACCTGATCAAAAAACGCTTTAAAAAAGAACGGGCATAAAAAAGCAGGGATATAAAAATTGAAATTGAACCGTTGGTTCGACAGATCTTTTATCGTACAGACAAATTTTTGAAGAAAATCGCGAAGGCGAATTTCCTAACAATGTCAAACCAAATCCAATGTAACACAGTTTGAAATTTGCCGGTCAGTGAACATTTCCTTACAAAGAAACAGTAACGTTTTAACTTCTCATTTTCAAAGCTCAAACTTGTTCTACTGTAAATGTAACTTTTGGTCCGTTTTAGGCCCAGAAATATATAAAATCGCCAGCAACCAATGTTGTGAGACATTAAACGATGTTTTTCGTTATAGACTCAAATGATGTTTGTCAACCTAACTAGACAAGAATCGTTCCACTGAAAAATGTTTCTCCGCGAACAGAGCTCCAAAACAATTGGTTAAAAGTTTATAACTCCATTTTTACAGAACGTTGAGGTCCTAAATGATCCCATTGATTCACTCGTAGAATTTTCTTAAAGTAGCACCTCTCAAAATTTAAAATCAGGCAGAATCTATACTATAAGCTCCGAGACCTCGTAAATTTCCGTATCTGGTAACGCTTCGTTCCGGCGTTCTACTGGGCCGATTTCCATGATTTTTGCGGCTATCGACAGCCAATTGTCTTTAAGTGAGCCCGCTTTATTTAGAATTTGAAAATAGGACCTAGGTTTTTTAGGTTGAGGGAGACTAGAAATAAGCTTAGAAAGGGGGGGGATTTGAAATTCCCACCTTTGAAAAATGGCGGGAATTTCAAATTTAGCAGAAAATGCGGAAATAAGCGGAAAATGTTGAATCTTGGTCTATTAGTAGGGTAAAAGAATCGGAGGTATGCTCCTTTGCTACAGACTATCCAAAAGCGACAAGACGCTCCATTCGCCGTTTCGCTTCAGTCTTGGCGTGAAGTTTGATGAAAAAATGCCAATTTTTTCATTCGATTCTTATTGGTCCAATTGCTCCCGGCCAGAGGGACATTCGATAAATGAGAGTCGGGTATGAAAATCTTTTCATTTTGTTTGGTCATTCTTTTGTCGACGCGGGCCTAAGAGAACGCGAAACGCCCCCTGGGGGTTGGCTGCGTAACAGCCAGAGGGCATAGCCTTCTAGTAAACATCTAAATTCGTAGTTCTGGTATAAA